TCTTCTCCTCTGTTCAACTACATTCCTCGTACCTCCAGTCCAAATATGTTCAGTCACACTGACCTGCTACCGTTAGACCATTCATCAACGTTCAACTGTCCAAACATCAGAGGTGTTAGGGAGACAGGATGGCCACAGGAGTTTGGAGAGCTTCCAATAACCCTGGCCCTGGCTGTGACCTGTGATTCCATGGCTAGGCTAGAGGACATGGCTATATTAGTGCTACAGAAGACATTGATCAGAGTTGTTTATAATTACAAATAGTTAAAGGCCCAGTGCAGTCGAAAACGTGATTTTCCTGTGTTTTATATACACTCAGTGGCCAGTTTATTAGGTACTAGTACCATCTAGTACCAGGTCGGACCCCCCTTTGACTCCAGAACATTCTGAATTCTTTGGGGCATGGAAACATTGTTCAATTGCTTTTAAGGGACCTAGCGTGTGCCAGGAAAACATTCCCCACACCATTACACCACCACCACCAGCCTGTACCGTTGACACCAGGCAGGATGGGGCCATGGATTCATGCTGCTTACGCCAAATCCTGACTCACCATAAGCATGACGCAGCAGGAACTGGGATTCGTCGGACCAGGCAATGTTTATCCACTCCTCAATTGTCCAGTGTTGGTGATCGTGTGCCAACTGGAGCCGCTTCTTCTTGTTTTTAGCTGATAGGAGTGGAACCCAGTGTGGCCGTCTGCTGCAATAGCCCATCCGTGACAAGGATTGATTAATTGTGCGTTCCGAGATGTCATTCTGCACACCACTGTTGTATTGCACTGTTATTTGCCTGTTTGTGGCCCTCCTGTTAGCTTGCACGATTCTTTCCATTCACCTTCGACCTCTCATCAACAAGCATTTTCACCCACAGGACTGCCACTGATTGGATGTTTTTTGTTTGTTGCACCATTCTCGGTAAACCCTAGACACTGTCGTGCATGAAAAGCCAAGGAGGGCGGACGTTTCTGAGATACTGGATCCATCGCGCCTGGCACCGACGATCATACCACGCTCAAAGTCGCTTAGGTCATTCCTTAGGTCACTCGTTTTGCCCATTCTAATGTTAAATTGAACAGTAACTGAATGCCTCGATGCCTGTTTGCCTGCTTTATATAGCAAGCCACGGCCACGTGACTCACTGTCTTTAGCCATTTTTGTGAACGGGTGGCATACCTAATAAACTGACCTCTGAGTGTATATTTCCACACTATGAGGTTGGAATAATACTGTGAAATTGTGAAAATGATGATAAGTAATTACCTTTTAGTGTAAGAGCTGTTTAAAAAGACAGCCTGAAATTTCAGCCTGTTTTGGTGGGATGGAGTTTTGGCCTACATGGTGACATCACCAGGTGGTAAAATGGTTAATAGACCAATAAGAAAGAGATTTCCAAACCTCTCTGCCAATAACAGCTAGTTTTCAGTTTTCCCCTCCACACTCAGACAACTCTGACAGTCCTATCAACATTTTTACTTGAGAAATTGCTCTTTGCTAAGGAGCTATTTTTGTTTATTTTTTACCATTTTAATTTAAAACAATCACATGAATGTACTTAATTGTTACCCAGAAATGATTTGATAAAAACGGTTGCATTGGACCTTTAATATTTGCCAAGGAAATGTATTCCTACCTGAACAATAAGTTAATAAAATAATTTGGCAAGATTATTGATTTGCATTGCACAGAATGTAATGATGTATCCACAGACCTTCAATGCCAGTGTAATCTGTGGTACTATTTGTTCAGACTTTGAGTGTGCTGTGGTGTGTCACATAATAAGAGATGAAGAGATGCTAGAACTAGTAGTGGAACCAGAACGAGGAGCTCCACCCTCTCTCTTTGCAAGTTACGGGCCGAATGTCCCCTGCGAAATCATGATTTGTCCAAATAACGAAAAACCCAAACACAGGAACTATTGCTGCTCATTATCCCAACTGTAAGTCATTCTAGATAAGAGCATCTGCTAAATGAGTCAAGTGTAAATCCCACGCATCCCATTCCTTCCCGACAGATTCTACAGTACCAGTTATGTTTACGTAGATCTGTCCACGAGAGATTAATTGGGCACTGACTACGAAAAGCTGGTTGGCACGGTTTGACCCAGGGGTGGGGGTGTCTCCGTTTTGCTTACTCCCTGAGACTGTACAGCATGTGCCCAATGTTTCCACTATAGGGTGATACCAGTGCAGTCTGTGTTGATGATAGTAGCGTTGGGTGACAACAACAAGGCTAAAATCTACTGCTGGGCAAGTGCTTCCCCAAGCCCCCCTCAGCAAGTGTTGTCCCAGAGTCTGGACCCCTTATGTCCTTCATGTCCTAACAGGGGCATAATATAGACGTTTTGCAGGGAGAGGATGTCGCTGGGCAGTGACCCAATAGAAATCTGTGGTTTATCCCCTGTGACAGGGTTCACACGCAGCTTGTGGCCAAGCCCACAAATAACAGCCATGCGTCTTGTTTGCTCTCATTCTCCGGCCTGTGTCAGATTACTCACTGGGCCTTTGAAGTTGGCTGATGGACAGGCAGGGTGTTCCCCTTCCTCTCCTGCCAGAAAAAGATTGGGTCTTCATCAGTTCCGCCCACTGCTACATATCTAGTGTAACCCCAGAATTAGACGCATACCTAGCTCAGGATTTTATCATAGGTCACATGTTGAGGTATCTCCTGAACTCACAGCAAGCCCCTTGGTATCAGAAGGGTCATAAATCTGTTAGGTTGTCATAGTGATCCCTTGGTTTTGTTCACTGGGTCAGCTCTACAGCATTGTGCTGTATACAGTGGCTGCCTTAATTGAATTTTAAAGATAAAAGCAATCTATAAAGTAGTAGCATAAGCATGACGCCTTGTATCAATTCACACAGATCCGGTTCTGAACAATCACAGAATGGAAATTGACATCGCCAGCCTTGGCGAAAACAAACCAATGACACAGGAGGTTTAACGCCTGTCTGATACTTTTTGTCGCGAACCTGCCACTCTCACTCAGTGAAGGGTTTCACTAGTACGTTCCTAGCCTGCCATGGACCATTGAGCAATAAAAAGCTATGTAACTAAATCCAGAGACTAATCCAGCCTGGACAATCACTGGCAGACCTTCTAGCTGTGCAGACAGAGGCCCCTGGCTGCAGACTGTCCCCATGCAGTATGGTTCTCATGTCACAAGGCTGTCACAGTGTGGGCCCAGGAAACCATGGAGCACAGGAATGGTGTGGGAAGACTGAAGCACAAGTGAATGTGTTTTAATAGGCATGCCAGCATTTAGAATGGTCACTGGTATGTCCTTAATGGTGCAGCATGTAAAGGTGGTCTTGGTCTATAAAATGAAAAATGTGAGTATGGTATATGGACTTAAGATGGTCTATTGAAACACTTCAGATAGTGACAGCAGAGGACGAGGTATACAGAGTGATTGACTTTTAAATAAGAGTTGTCTGGGAACCAGACATATTTGTTAAAATGATCTGTCTGATTTGAGAGATAAATAAACATAGGCTACTTGATGATGAGACTGGATTTGAATTGTAGCCAGAGGCATTTTGATCAATTGCCAATCCTGTGGAATTAATTCTTAAAAATTAAACCTATAGTGGATAATAGTTGTCAAATATACCCTAAACTTTCATAATGAAATATCTTTATGATTCTAATCATTCAAAACTAAAGTCATGTTTATAGTTAATGAATTTGCCTAAATACCTATACACTTTTAATAATCAGACATTCTCCAGCCTTTTAGCTGATAATCTGGATAACCACACTGATTTAGGATACATTTGTACTTGATTGTGATGGGAAACATACTGTATGCTACTGTCTACTATGTTTGCATACCACATGTACCTTTATTTTATTTTTTTTGGGGGGGGGGGGTCATTTAGCAGACGCACTTATCCAAAGCGACTTACAGGATAAATTAGGGTTAAGTGCCTTGCTCAAGGGCACATGGACAGATGTTTCGTGGAGTTATTGGCCCAACACATTTACGAGACGATCTTATCCAGAGCGACTTACATGAGCAATTAGGGTTAAGTGCCTTGCTCAAGGGCACATCGACAGATTTTTCACCTAGTCGGCTCGGGGATTAGAACCAGCGACCTCTCGGTTACTGGCACAACGCTCTTAACCACTAAGCTACCTGCCGCCCTAACCAACGCTCTTAACCACTAGACTCCCTGACTTTCTTAGGTGTAGCCTATGTTGTTTTTCATCTCAGCAAGGCAATGTGGATCAGACAATAAGCCTACTCAGTCAAATTATTGTTGAGATGTGGTTTTCAGCACCACACGCACGTGGACAGCTCCTTGCTGCAATTATGCGCACTAAATCATTGATTGCTCACGAACGCTCCATCCGACTATATGACTCTTGCAAAGTTGTTGTCTTTTGATCACCAGTGAAGTTGCAGAGACTGAATCGCATATCGACCCAACACCCCATGTTACAATACTGCTTAGTGAACTCCTCTCTCCACCTGACCCGTGAAACCACACCCATAATGGAATATACAACTGGTTCAAAGTGTTAAAGAGCCAATCAACTCTGGCTCGGACAGTGCAACATATTCGCACAGTTCAGAAGGAAGACCGTGAGCCAGGCGCACGCGGGTCTTTGATGGAATATCGCCTCTATCACAGTATTTTTTTTCTCCTGGTAATAGAACTCCTGAATAAGAATAGAAGATAATTTATTCAATGAAAGATGGAGATGGTCAATTATGGAACGCAATCAACCGGTAACATTTCTCCGGATTTAATTTAAACACGTGACAAATAAAATCGGCACACTGAAAATCGAAATAGTTGGCTATAGGGCTAGACCTAGGCTACTTTTTTCTTCTGATAATAGTAACTTTTACATTTCATTACGATTAAATGGCAATGAAATACCAGCTTGAAATAAACTTAAGAAAAATGTCACAGACTAGATATATCGGTTGTCCTATATTTTGAAATAAAGAGGATGAACTTTTGAATGTGAGATTCAGTTGTACAGAGGGGTATGGCATTCCAACCGTTTTTACCAAACACAGCTTCGGATTTCACCCTCGACGCAATGCTGGCCCGACAACCTCCGTTTTCCCCTGTCATTGCACTAACTTCCCACGGGTCTCTTCCCTTGCCTGTTGCGCAAAGGCACCCAATGCTGGATCTGGGCAATGCCGAAACGATCCTCCGCATATCCTCGCTGGAACACCATGCTGCCACCCAGTCTGCCAAACTCAGGCCTCCTAAAACGCTGGAGACCAAGGATGCCACCGAGGATGATCCAAAAGTTAACTTGGAGGCGAGGGACCTTTGGACACAATTCCACAAATTCGGCACTGAAATGGTCATAACAAAATCAGGAAGGTAAATATTATGACATATCATCCATAATCATGTAGCCTATAACGTTTTTCATTTTTATTTTATATTTTATATTTTATAGGACTGTAGGATGATTTCAAATCGTTGTGTGTTCCTTTTACTCCAGGCGCATGTTTCCACCATTCAAAGCCAGATGTACTGGCTTGAACAAAATGGCAAAATATATTTTTCTGATGGATATTGTGGCGGCCGACGAGTGCAGATACAAGTTTTACAACTCAAATTGGACGGTGGCAGGAAAGGCAGATCCTGAAATGCCAAAGAGGATGTACATACACCCAGACAGTCCCGCTTCTGGCGAGCAATGGATGTCAAAAGTGGTCAATTTTCACAAACTAAAATTGACAAACAACATCTCGGACAAGCATGGGTTTGTACGTTCCAAATATTCGTTTTGTGTTAATAATGTAGTATTTACAGTGTAGTTTGACTCATCTAATGTATTGTTACATTAGTTACAATATAACTGAAATATACTATTTTTTATTGAAATGCGTAAAGTTCCAGTTGATGACTAGGCCTAATGTATTCTTTAAAATGTATTTTGTCTCCAATTGCAGACGATTCTTAACTCAATGCACAAATACCAGCCTAGGTTTCACGTTGTGAGGGCCAACGATATCATCCAACTACCATATAGCACGTTCAGGACCTATGTCTTTTCTGAGACAGAATTCATCGCGGTAACTGCGTATCAAAACGATAAGGTAGGCCCTTAATAATTTTATAAAGCAAGTTTCAGAATAACATTGTATTTTTCGTATTGGTAGACCTATGGAAAATGGGAATTATACGCATGACATAAATTACCCATAAAGAATTTGTAAAGAGTTTATGTTGTGGCCTAAATGAATTACTGACTTATAGCTAAATAGCCTACTCTATAGCATATTAGTTACCCAAGGCTCAATATTTGGCAAGCAATGAAATGTAGATTTTTATGTCTTCAAATATTTTGTTCTAAATGTGCAATATTTGAACAACGTTAATTAACTGCTTATAAAACATTTACAAACTTCTTGGCAAGAAAGATTTTGTTTGAAACTTTTAAAGGATCCTATATTCCTGATCTATCCCTGTAATTAGCCTAAGAGAGTCTGATTATTAGTGTTACAATGTGATAAGGTACTGGTCTAATGTTTAGAAACATTACAGTCATTACAGTGATTTCTATATTTTCAGATTACACAACTGAAAATTGATAACAATCCTTTCGCCAAAGGATTCCGTGACACTGGCAATGGGAGAAGAGAAAAAAGGTGAGACAAAAAAAAACGACAAACGTTAATGAATATAATAAATACTTTTAGAAACTCAATACTGAACTATGTTATTTTTTGAGTAGGAAACAACTGGGGATTAATACACAAACATTCAATGAGACGCGAATGGAAGAAGGCAATGAAATCTCGGGTGACTCTTTGGATCCACTGAAAAGCGCAGGAAACTCTAAATCAACCGGTTTGTATGATAACGAAATGAATAGGCAAAAAATGTAGCCTTAATTCTTACTATAAGAATTGTTTAGCCTCAACTTGTTCTCATTTTACAAACAACATTGTATTTTAATAATCATGTTAGATGTCTGCGAAAGTGCCAACGAAAGCAGTCAAGCAAGCAAGGATGGGCATTATGTTGGACAAGACTTGCGAAAAATCTCAACCGCCACGGAGGAACTGAAACCTGAGCCAAATGTTACCACAGCGCATGGCAAAACGGACAGGGCTTTAGCGGACTCATTCAGGACCGAAACAGACTCAGAGGATCCAAAACAGGACCATATAAATGCCATAACTGGCGGTGGGACGCGTGGCTTTAGAGCAGAGGAGCCGAGGGCAACGGAGCACTTCCAGCCTCTAACCGTGGAAACGGACCAAAGAGCTCACATCACAGGCCTAAGATGCAGTAGTTTTTCTCACTGCTATTCTTATCCACCGGATTTAACAAGATATATCATCAACCCCTTGGGTGTCGCACACCGTCTCCTACACCCTGCTGCCCAAGTCAAAGTGCAGGGTGAAACTTTCTCCAGTGTAGCAGCAGCGACAGCCATGGGTCACATGCTGGCAGCTGTGTCATCTGGCGGAGTGTGCGCCATGGGCACGGCTGGTATTCCGGCATCTTCTTTACAAAGAGTGTCAGGAACGTCAGGATTACCCGTGAACTTTCAGCAGCATGCTATGGCGTCACAGGTATGCCCGTCATTTATTAATTCAGCAACAATACTCAATAGGCTGCCTTTATATCTGTGCCCATGACGCATGTAAATTAAGTAGGCTAATGTAAGTCCTTATTATGAAAATAACTGTCAACTTTGCTAGCCCTAACCACTCTTTCTTTATTTCCCATGCAGGGCCTCACAGTTTCTCCAATTGGTGGTATTTTCCCCTACCCCTACTCCTATTTGGCAGCAGCGGCTGCTCTCTCCACCACAGCATCGACCCCAGTACATCGCCACCCAGTGCGCCCTCGTACTCGGTTCAGACCCTACTACATTCCCAATAGCGTACCAGACAACTGTTTGACACCACCGACATCTATTCATCTTATGACTGATAGAGACGTGAATTGTCACAGTATTGGAAATAGTCCGATTGCTGCCAGATTGGACTGTAGGCCTACGTCAGAGGTCAACAGTGATTCTTTGCCACTGGGTTAATTGTGCGCCACCGGCAAAACGCGTATCCAGCAAGGATGGCATGGATCAGCTTCAATGTATGCAACAGTTGGTCAGTGGTATAGACTCCTAGACAGAGACTTATCTTCCTAGGGCATAAATCTAACAAACGGATTAAAATTATGAGATTTTTTCTTTGTTGCATAATGAATGAAGAATGAAGTGTTTGATATCAAACCAAAAGGCATTTAAAAAAGTATTCTAATGCAGAATGTATAACATTGTTTACGTCTGTGGAATATGGTTGCGCTTGTGTGTTGTTACTGTAATGTGTTTGTTGATGGCACTGAAGTTTATTTGCTATAAATCCCCAATGTTTTCACTCAGCCAATTACTCCTATAGAAACAGTTTTGAACCCCTTTATTTTCTAACTAAAGAACGTGTATAGTTTCAAATGTAAATATTATTTATTTCGGCTTAGAAGTCTTTGAGAAATTTGAGAAATTAGTTTTCTATTCATTTACATTTTTATGGAGGAATGTTTTTGCTGACTTGTTAAACATTGAAAAGTAAATGGTGTGTCAATTACCAATATAATTTTCAGTTTAAAAATGTTATGAAGACAATATTGTCAAAATAACCATTACATTTTTTTTGTAGGCAGTTGTAGATCCAAAACAATTGTCACAATATTTTTTGGGAGAATCTTGTATACCTATAACTTATTACAACCCATTATTGGTTTAACAGACATAGGCCTATATCTCTTTGCATGTTTGTTCATTTGAATAACTGCACTTTAATGCGTTTTAGGAACTCCACAAAATAATGTTAAACGAAATAAAAGTATTCTGTTTAATGGTTTTAATGGTCTAGGATGTCTATGCATTTTATGTTTTAAAAGTTTCATATTATTCAAAACGAAAAAAGTTCTACATTAATTCGCTACATCCCTGCTGTGTACGTTTTGAACACTTGGAAATTATACCTACTTTGCAAGATTATTTATTTTGTTTATCACATGTAGGCTACTTTCATTTGAATACCTATAAATACATTATTGTTACAAAGAGATGTATATTTTAAGTTATTGTTCTTCATTAGATTATAAATTATATTGTTCGATATATCTTTGCTTTATCTCTTAAACAAATGGTTCTATATAGTGCCAAATAAGGGCTATTTGGGTTGTAACCGTAGCGAAACCCTTTTTGGTGATATATGGAACCTTTTATTGAAGGTTCTATAAAGAACCATGCTTATAAGGTTCTAAATGGAACCTGTATGGCGCTAAAAAGCAGGGTTTCCCAAACTCGGTCCTACTGATTTAGTCAACCATCCTCAATTGACACAAAGCCATGAATGAGTCTTTCACAAAACACTGGCCAAAGTCACATATAACGTCAACTAGCATAACACAACGGATTAGATAAACTGGAATGACACTCTCAATGATGGTTCCACAAAAAGAGCTGTGCCCAAACCACGCCCCAAAATATTATAATGAGCCACCGTCCCTACATTTACACATCTCTAAATGAGGAAATAACCCTTTTATGACCTGCGAATAACCATTGAAGGGCTCAAAGTATGGTTCCTCATAGAACCACCACCCTTCCCAAATAACTCTTGATGAACCCTCATTTTAAGTGTGTAGAGGTTGTTCTGATATAGGCATATACACTTGAAAATGTTTATTTGTCTAATTTGAAATGTCTTACTTGAGTAAAGATTTTAAAGGTACAAAGGTAGGCTACTAGCATTTTGGAGCACACACGGTCATGCATGTCTCACTCCACCACAGTAGGTGGCAGCATTGGCATTGAGTTGAGTTAGTGGCTGAGTTCACTGCCGTAAAAAAAGTAGAAAAATAAGAGGATTCCGGTCACATCCCGTTTCTCCCCAGCTGGATGAAATAACAAAACAACGAGACCTTTCATTGTTCTCATCTTTGAAATACGCTACGGATTTATCGGTATGATGTGAAACATTAATACATTGAATCTGTATTAGCCAACATATTCGACAGGAAACTGCTAGATTGCAATCAGGTATTATCTTAGTTCTGTTAGCTTGTTAGCTAGCCAGCAAGCTAGTCATTGCTTTCTAACGGACGGTTTCTCCAATCCAATGTAGCCAACAATCTAGTACGCTAGCTAGCTATAACATAGCCGCAGTTCAACCAAAGTTGAGAAGATGGCAAGGATTTCACTTAACTACATTCTGATGTGCGGGCAAGTTCTCCTGCTACTGTCAGTGTTGCTTTTGCAATGTTTGGAAGGAATACACTCCCAGAATTCATCAGACTCACCCGGACAGAGGGCAACAACAGCTACATTCAGTGTCAGTGAGCAGCCACAAGATAACGTGACGACGTATCACATAATACCAGTTGAACGCATGAATTATACTGAACTATATGAATACAGGCCTCCGTCACCGGTTGTCCTCTGCAGTTATCTGTAAGTATTTTATTTGTGTTTCAATAACAACAGTGCCACATCAATTTGCTTTCAGAGACTGCCCTCTCAAAGTTAATGTGTGTCACCTCTTGCTTTACATTTTCAGAGGGACTTCACCCTGCCTGTTTTCTAAACGCCCATATACAGTTCTTCACATGTGCTACATAAAATACACAGACTAAACACGTCATTTTACCCTTTTTCTGTGCATGTGAAGACCCGAGGAGTTCATCCACTGTCAAGATCCAGTGGACCATGCACAGAACTCCACTGCCATTCTGGAGATGGGACATGGTTGTTGGAAGGTATGTCAAACCATAGTGGATAGGCCCCCCACCCCCCTCTGTGGCCTTACATGATGATAGTATGATGACTAGTCATAAACAGATATATTAACTGGCATAGTTGAACATTCAGGTCAGATTCTTGGTATTTCATGTGTAGACTTTATTGTGTCATCTCATGTCATTCAACTAAATCAACACCTTTATTTAGTTTGGAGGGCAGGTACACAAAGACGTGAATCACACACCAGTCATCTGCACGGCACTGGATGACATAGAGTGTGCTGGACCCAGGGAGTTCCTGAGAGGGAACGAGCCATGCATCAAGTAAGGGAGAATCTAGCTACTGTACTTGACTCTGCAGTTTCTGACAAGCTCATGCGTCATTGATTGTTGTTACATGATGATAATAGTAATTCCCAGTTTACGGTACAGATAGACTCCCTGCCTGACTTCACTAGTGTTCAACAGATTTGAAATACCTGCTTGGAGGTCAATACTATATACACTGCTCAAAAAAATAAAGGGAACACTTAAACAACACATCCTAGATCTGAATGAATGAAATAATCTTATTAAATACTTTTTTCTTTACATAGTTGAATGTGCTGACAACAAAATCACACAAAAATGATCAATGGAAATCAAATGTATCAACCCATGGAGGTCTGGATTTGGAGTCACCCTCAAAATTTAAGTGGAAAACCACACTACAGGCTGATCCAACTTTGATGTAATGTCCTTAAAACAAGTCAAAATGAGGCTCAGTAGTGTGTGTGGCCTCCACGTGCCTGTATGACCTCCCTACAATGCCTGGGCATGCTCCTGATGAGGTGGCGGATGGTCTCCTGAGGGATCTCCTCCTAGACCTGGACTAAAGCATCCGCCAACTCCTGGACAGTCTGTGGTGCAACGTGGCGTTGGTGGATGGAGCGAGACATGATGTCCCAGATGTGCTCAATTGGATTCAGGTCTGGGGAACGGGCGGGCCAGTCCATAGCATCAATGCCTTCCTCTTGCAGGAACTGCTGACACACTCCAGCCACATGAGGTCTAGCATTGTCTTGCATTAGGAGGAACCCAGGGCCAACCACACCAGCATATGGTCTCACAAGGGGTCTGAGGATCTCATCTCGGTACCTAATGGCAGTCAGGCTACCTCTGGCGATCACATGGAGGGCTGTGCGGCCCCCCAAAGAAATGCCACCCCACACCATGACTGACCCACCGCCAAACCGGTCATGCTGGAGGATGTTGCAGGCAGCAGAACGTTCTCCACGGCGTCTCCAGACTCTGTCACGTCTGTCACATGTGCTCAGTGTGAACCTGCTTTCATCTGTGAAGAGCACAGGGCGCCAGTGGCGAATTTGCCAATCTTGGTGTTCTCTGGCAAATGCCAAACGTCCTGCACGGTGTTGGGCTGTAAGCACAACCCCCACCTGTGGACGTCGGGCCCTCATACCACCCTCATGGCGTCTGTTTCTGACCGTTTGAGCAGACACATGCACATTTGTGGCCTGCTGGAGGTCATTTTGCAGGGCTCTGGCAGTGCTCCTCCTGCTCCTCCTTGCACAATGGCGGAGGTAGCGGTCCTGCTGCTGGGTTGTTGCCCTCCTACGGCCTCCTCCACGTCTCCTGATGTACTGGCCTGTCTCCTGGTAGCGCCTCCATGCTCTGGACACTACGCTGACAGACACAGCAAACCTTCTTGCCACAGCTCGCATTGATGTGCCATCCTGGATGAGCTGCACTACCTGAGCCACTTGTGTGGGTTGTAGACTCCGTCTCATGCTACCACTAGAGTGAAAGCACCGCCAGCATTCAAAAGTGACCAAAACATCAGCCAGGAAGCATAGGAACTGAGAAGTGGTCTGTGGTCACCACTTGCAGAACCACTTCTTTATTGGGGGTGTCTTGCTAATTGCCTATAATTTCCACCTGTTGTCTATTCCATTTACACAACAGCATGTGAAATGTATTGTCAATCAGTGTTGCTTCCTAAGTGGACAGTTTGATTTCACAGAAGTGTGATTGACTTGGAGTTACATTGTGTTGTTTAAGTGTTCCCTTTATTTTTTTGAGCAGTGTACTTACCTGTCCTGGAAATGGAAATTGTTTTGGAAGCTAACATGGATTCACCACTAGAGAGCAGTATTTACAAACCTATAGGACACCTTTACAACATGTTGCAATACTTTTAATGGCTCATGGCTAGATGGGATACCGCTTATGTCAAATTGACATCAAAAGTTGTTTTTTGGGGGCATTTTAGCTAACCCTAACCCATTTCCTAACCTTAACCAAATTATCCTAACCCACTACATTAATTATCCTAACCTGCTGCGTAATTTTTCTAACCTGGTACGAAAAGTCAATTCTGGTCAATTCTGACATAAGCTGTATTCCATCTAGTCAAAATCATTTTAATGGGCTCCCCTGGTCTTTACTTCCGGTTATTGACACCTTGTTGTGATTTCAGATACACTGGCCACTATTTCATCACCACCCTGCTGTACTCATTCTTCCTGGGTTGCTTTGGAGTGGACAGGTTCTGCCTGGGGCACACAGGCACAGCCGTGGGCAAGCTGCTGACCCTAGGAGGCCTGGGCATCTGGTGGTTCGTGGACCTCATCCTCCTCATCACCGGAGGCCTCATGCCCAGTGACAACAGCAACTGGTGTACCTTCTACTGAGACCAGAGAGCATGGGTTGAAGACCTTTTAAAGGCATACTTTGGGATTTTGGCAATGAGACCCTTTATCTACTTCCCCGGAGTCAGATGAACTCGTGGATACCATTTTTATGTCTCTGTGTCCAGTATGAAGGAAGTCAGATGTAGTTTTGCGAGCCAATGCTAAATAGCGTTAGCACAATGACTGTAAGTCTATGGTTATCTACTACCATGTTAGCATTGGCTCGAGAAACTACCTCTGACTTCCTTCATACTTGTTGCCAAAATCCCAAAGTATCCCTTTAAGGTGTGTTTACATTGCAGACATGCGGGACGACTAAGGATCAACGCTTATATGTGAATTACAGTTCAGAGTAGTCTGACCACGTGTCAGATGCCTTTATCTCCAATTCTCCTAGAGAATCATGTCACCCGACGTATCACTTTATGCTTGCGCACGCCACAGATGGCAATTTTTCACACCTTAATAAATTGCGTGTCTGCTGTTTCCGCAATTTAAATCAGTCTTTCGTCTCTTATCATGGGATAACAAGAGGAGTATTCGTGAAAGATGTGTGGTGTGGACCAGGGGCATGGTTGAGTGGTTGGCATGTGGCTGCTGTAGGTTTGATTTTGGTGTAAAGGTTAAATTACTGAACTGTTGAAGCAAAGGAAATGGGTTGCTATGTTGTCTGTATGAAAGCTTAAATCTAGGTTCTAAGTTTCATTATGCGATTTATGCGTGCACAAACTGCACAACATCTGAGGCGTTACCATGTCTGACCATCTGATGAGAGGAGTCTCAAAACATTTGTGTACCTGTACTACCTACATATACTGCTCACATAGCTTACTCCAAATGTAGTTCTGATTTAGTGTCCCAAATGAAAACAATTTGATTAAACGGGTTAATATGGTTAAAATACATTAAGCCTGAGTAATGCTGTATGTACCCTCAATTCTGTGATTGTTTATTATTTTGTTATGCATTGAAATGTTTGACTTTATTTTCCCTATGTTCTTTCAATATAGGAACAATTTGTGAAATGGCAGCCTTCTGTAAATATAGACAAAAGTCTATGGATTAATTTTATGGTATGTGTCTTGCAAAATTATGTAAAATGACAGGTTGAGAAAAATTGCATCTTCCTAGGTGCACATGTGAGAAGGAACGCAAACTGTCTCCCTATGTGTGTGCCATCCCTGCACATCAAGTGTTTGTGGTTCATTAAAATGTTTATGGTCAAGGTTGGTTAAGTCTATTTCTACTTGAATCCTGTGCTGAATCTGATTTGTTGCGTCTGACTTGCAAAGTGGAAACTGAGATGGTTCCTTTTTTCTGTGCATGCTTAAATGTTTTTCAGATTGATTGCTTTTTTTCTATACACTTGATGACTTGCACTCATTCAAAGCACAGAGGAGACAAGATACTGCTACCATTAAAAATTCCAGTACACAGAAGAAAAGAAAACAAAGGTTTCAAAGCCAAGCACTATAAAGATTTTATTTTAAGTGTCAACAAATGTCATATTCACCACTTCCAGAGGTAACGATGTTATTGTACATATTATGAATAAAAAACAATTGATACTTGCCTCTAGAACTGTCTATACAAACTGTAGAGCTGAATGTCTCCTCTAAACACATTGAATTCAATAGTGTTGTCAGAAAAATAGGTGCAGCACAGTTGATGTTTTTTTTTAACGTCATTTAGCAGACGTTCTTATCCAGAGCGACTTACAGTAGTGAGTGCATACATTTTAGTACTTCTTCATTCTGGTTCCCCATGGGAATCGAACCCACATCCCTGGCGTTGCAAGCGCCATGCTCTACCAACTTAGCCACAACTAAGGGACTCCCATTATATGTAACTACATATATCTTTAGGGCAGTACATCAGCTCTAACAACAGAGCATTCGGAAAGTATTCAGACCCCTTGACTTTTCCACATTTTGTTACCTTACAGCCTTATTCTAAAATGGAAGAAATTGTTTTTTTCCCTCAATGTATACACAATACCCCATAATGTTCGATCAGGTTCTAGTCCGGGCTCTGGCTGGGCCACTCAAGAACATTAAGAGACTTGTCCTAAAGCCAGTCCTGTGTTTTCTTGGCTGTGTGCTTAGGGTTGTTGTCCTGTTGGAAGGTGAACCTTCACCCCAGTCTGAGGTCCTGAGCGCTCTGGAGCAGGTTTTCATCAAGGATCTCTGTATACTTTGCTCCATTCATCTTTCCCTCGATCCTGACTAGTCTCCCAGCCTTGCCGCTGAAAAACATCCCCACAACATGATGCTGCCACAAGCATGCTTTACCATAGGGATGGTGCCAGGTTTCCTCCAGACGTGACGCTTGGCATTCAGGCCAAAGAGTTGAATCTTGGTTTCATCAGACCAGATAATCTTGTTTCTCATGGCCTGAGAGTCTTTAGGTGCCTTTTGGCAAACTCCAGGCGGGCTGTCATGTCTTTTACTGAGGAGTGACTTCCGTCTTGCCACTCTACCATAAAGGCCTGATTGGTGGACTGCTGCAGAGATAGTTGTCCTTCTGGAAGGTTATCCCATCTCCACAGAGGATCTCTGGAGCTCTGTCAGAGTGACCATCAGTTCTTGGTCACCTCCCTGAGCAAGGCCCTTCTCCCCCGATTACTCAGTTTGGCCGGGCTTCCAGCTCTAGGAAGAGTCTCGGTGGTTCCAAACTTCTTCCATTTAAGAATGATGGAGGCCTCTGTGTTCTTGGGGACCTTCTACACTGCAGACATTTTTTGGTACCCTTCCCCAGATCTGTGCCTCGACACAATCCTGTTTTGGAGCTCTGCGCACAATTCCTTCGACCTCATGACTTGGTTTTTGCTCCGACATGCACTGTCAACTGTGGGACCTTATATAGACAGGTGTGTGCCTTTCCAAATCATGTCCAATCAAATGAATTTACATTAGGTGAACTCCAATCAAGTTGTAGAAACATCTCAAGGATGATCAATGGAAACAGGATGCACCTGAGCTAAACTTTGAGCAAAGGGTCTGAATACTTATGTTAATAAGGTATTTCTGTTTTTTATTTTTAATAAATTAGCTAAAATTTCAAAAAACAGTTTTCTCTTTGTCATTATGGGGTATTGTGTGTAGATTGATGAGGGGAATTTTTTTTAAAATCCATTTTAGAATAAGGCTGTAACGTAACACAATGTGGAAAAAGTGAAGGGGTCTGAATACTTTCAGAATGCACTGTATGTGCATGTATGGCATGAAAAACATTTATTTGCATTCACCAGCAACATACAGTGAGTGTAGAGGGACAGCCACTCAAGGCTGGCTCTAGAGGGTTGCAGGGTAGGGCATTGCCCACCCAAATGTTAATGTTGCCCTTTGAAATGGTCATGCTTGAGTCAATGTTAAACTAAGATTGCAGGATATTAGCTTAGAAACACCCAGTAATATCATCCTAGAACTGGCCCTGCAGCCACTCAGTAAATTTTCTCAGGGACGACCGTTAGCATGACGTCTTCGTTAGCTCACCACACCACCATGGACAGTGGACTGGCTGACTGAACAGGATAACTCACCTCCTCTGTGGTCTGGATGTGCTGCTCGTTGATGCTGATTATAACATCATGGTTAATCATGCCAGCACTGTATGTGGAACATACAATGGAGACAACAATGAACACACTACACACACCTAGCCTGGTCCCAGACCTGTTTGTGCTCTTGCCAACTCCATGAATTGCTGTCATCAAGAAGTTGGCATGATAGCACAAACAGACTGGCACCCAGGCTAGCACTCACCCTCCTCTCTATTATACAAAACTCAACCTCAAAACCATTCTCTGACTCCTCATCTCATGCCCTGGAGGAACAAGCATTGACCTTTAGACTAAGCTGTACATGCTGTGCCATTTTCGAGACAGAGAGAGACAGAGAGAATGAGAGCGAGAGAGAGAATGAGAGAGAATGAGAGCAATAGAGAGAGAGAGAGAGAGAGAGAGAGAGAGAGAGAGAGAGAGAGAGAGAGAGAGAGAGAGAGAGAGAGAAGTTGGTGGCTTCAAATCCTACAGATCATAGTTAAATCAGTACCATTCTCTATAGTTTTGTAGTGTTAGCCAGGCTGGCTTATTATTGGACCACTGGAACATAATCTATTAGCCTTAGTTTGAGATGGCTGCTGCATGCAGGTTTGTGTTCCATAGCTGTGGGGGCTACTTAATGCTATTACCAACAACATCAACAACAAAGCACACAGCCATTGAGACAGATGTGAGCTCCGGGCTGGCCTTTCTGCATGGGGTAAGAGGGGGTGCATCGCAAATGGCATTCTATTCCCTATATAGTGGCAGGTTAACCTTTATTGTGAGCGATTTCCGCTAGATAGGACAGCTGCAAAGTCAAAATTGGCTTTATTGTAAAAATTCATGAATTCTTTCTAAGCTTAATTTAAGGTTAGGGTTAGTCATTAGGGCTAGCAGTGTGGTTCAATCAGATGTTATGCCTTTGTAGCTGTGCCAGCTAGTGACCACTCTGCAGAGCTGCCTCCAGGACGGAAAACGCTAACCTGCGCCATGTGGGGTGTAGCCAGGAAGAGGAAGTAATCAGAAACCTGCCTGTGGGTGGCTGCTGGCTTGAGTGTAGCAGAGATCTGGACCAGAGTCTAGTATAATAGCCTTGATAACCATCGTGTCAGAGGACAGCATTACAAATATGCTGATTACATATAACATTCCTCTCAAATACAATCTCAAGCAGTAAATCCCCTAACAAGTGGTCCCCCTGAGTTGCCAAAGTGTAAAAGAACAGAGCAGTAAACAAAAGTTAACGGCCATTGTATTGCACTGCAATGTTAAATTCAGAACAGAGACAAGAAGAGATGATGGAGACATACACTCTTAGAAAAAAAGGTTCCAAAAGGGCTCTCCGGCTGTCCCCTTAGGAGTACCCTTTTAGGAGCACCCTTTTTTCTACCTGGAACCAAAAGGGTTCTTCAAAGCGTTCTCC